AAACGTGAGATGGGAAAACCACTCTGGAAGACAACGGGGCTCCTTCAAGCTTTTTTGTTGCTAAGTTTCTTTAAACTTACGCTTACCATACAAGCCAGCAATTCCACACCGAGGCACTTACCCAAGAGGAATGAGATCATCCATCCACACGAACCCACACGTGCATGTTCACAACAGCCTGACTCCTAATACACAAAGAGAGGAAACGACTCACACGGCCGTCCATGTTCAATGGACACACCGTGGACCATCCTCACCACAGAACCCTACGCAGGCACGAAAGGAACCAAGACGGATGCAACCACAAGGTCCAGTGTCAGACACACGACGCTGAGTTCTAGAGGAGGACGGAACCAACAACGCGGAGTTCTAGAGGAGGACGGAACGCATGACGCTGAGTTCTAGAGGAGGAGGGGACGGAACGCACGATGCTGAGTCCTAGAGGGGACAGAACGCACAATGCTTAGTTCTACAGAGGGCGGAACGCACAATGGTGAGTTCTAGAGGTAGTAGAAAAAGCAGCTCATCCGGCCGGGCGTGGTGGCTCACGCCTGTCATCCCAGCACTTTGGGAGGCCAAGGCGGGCGGATCACCTGAGGTCAGGAGTTCAAGACCAGCCTGGCCAACACAGTGAAAGTCCATCTCTACTAAAAATACAAGAATTAGCCAGGCATAGTGGTGGGCGTCTGTAGTCCCAGCTGCCTGGGAGGCTGAGGCGGGAGAATCATCTGAACTGCGGCAGGTGGCGGTTACAGGGAGCCAAGACTGACATTACACCACAGCCTGGGAGACAAGAGCGAAATTCCACCTCAAAAAAAAAAAAAAAAGCAGGTCATCGACATGAAGTTCTTACTTCCCCTCATAACAACTTACTTTAACGGTGTGTTTAGGGTGCCCCCAGCAGAAGCACCCTGGCTTGCATCATCAGCCCATCGATACTGGCATTTCCTTTCGTTTTCTTCTTTTTTTTTTTTGGAGACAGGGTCTCACTTTGTTGCCCCGGCGGGAGTGCAGTGGCACAGACATAGCTCACTGCAGCCTCGAACTCCGGGGACCCTCCTGCCTCAGCCTCACGAGCAGCTGGGACTTCAGGCACGAACCACCATGCCTGGCTGATTTGATTATTTTATAGACACGGGGGAGTCTCGCTACGTTGCCCAGGCTGGGCGCAAACTCCTGGCCTCAGGTGATCCTCCCTCCTCGGCCTCCCAAAGTGCTGGGATTCAGCCACTGCACCCGGCCAATGCTCACATTTTCTAACTTGTACGACGGGTCTCTCTTCCCCAGAGATGGGAGGGAGCCATTGCAAGCACCGCTTTCAAACACACGGTGCAGTGTCTCTGCTCAGTAACGGTGACGGTGCAGATAACGTAAAACAGCCACGGCGGCGCTGGTTACGTCCGCTTTGGATGCGTCACGTAACGTTTTCACAACGGGCAGGATGCGTTTTGTCCCAATGAACAGACACGTCCTTCTAAGTTATTCGCTTCTGAAGTAAGCCACGGGTCCCAAACAGGAAGACAAGTTTAAAGCAAACTTGAGGTCCCAGACAAGCTCAGTCACTGCTTTCTGAAAACTCCTGGCATCTCCTAAGTGCAGAATCCGGCCCCTTGCGCACCCCGGCCGCCACGCCATGATCCACACGCACCCTTCCTTCTGCTTCTCCCGTTAGACCACTCCAGTCGCTCAACACGACCTGAACATCTTACCCTTTTTTTTTTTTCTTTTTTTGAGACAGAGTCTCTCTCTGTTGTTCAGGCTGCAGTGCAGTGGTGTAATGTCGGCTCACTGTAACCTCTGCCTCCCGGGTTCAAGTGATTCTCCTACCTCAGTCTCCCGAGTAGCTGGGATTACGGGGGCCCGCTACAACACCTCGCTAATTTTTGTATTTTTGCTACAGATGGGGTTTCACCATGTTGGCCAGGCTGGTCTTGAACTCCTGACCTCAGGCGATCCACCCACCTCAGCCTCCCAAAGTGCTGGGATTACAGGCGTGAGCGACTGTGCCTGGTCTCATTTTCACACTCTGCCCGTCATCCTTCCTGGAACAGCCTCCCTTGGTCCCGTCCCCCATACCCAATAAACTCAGTGCATTTCCCAAGTCCCACTACTCACTTCCTCCTCAAAACTTTCTCCAGGAGAGAACTGACCTCTCCCTGCTGTGAACACCTTCGGAACTTAATTTCCTCTTGTTAGAGGCTTGTTACCCGATTTACAGAATATATCATCTTTTCCCATGCACCCAGACCTGACCTTCCGTCGATATTCCCAGCCCTAGGAGAATTCACGCAAAGTCACAACATTCAAGCATTTACCTTAGTGTCTGGCTGTCATTCAACACGTTTAATGACAAAATGGCAGCTCATCGGCAATCCCACTGAGGAAGCAAGCCGTGGAGGGGAAACCATCATCACGAGGGCACGCTTCTGGAGTCCTGGCCCTCCCCTCACATACAAGTTCCTCAGTAAATGAGGGATGTAGGCAAGACTTCCTAAGGTGCTCAGGTTTTGCAGCTCACCGGGAAAGTGCATTGGGCCGGAGCTCATGAGATACGTCCTGGGGCCCTGAGTCCCTTCCTGGATCGGGATCGGGAGGGCCTGAGCCAGGCGGTCTCCAAGCTGCCTCCATTTCTGGTTCACGTTTTCGTCGACACGTACTTTTGGAAAACATTCTAGATCCATCAGAACATGGACAACCACCAGGAATTTAGAACCCAAGGAGCTCACCTCGGACTGCCACCCACCTCTCACTCAGCAAGTAGAGGCTGGTCCACTGGGGCTGGAAAACTATGGTGCTACATAAATAATCACTTCATGACATGCTTATTAGTGCTGCTGATGGAAGGCCGGTGCTCAGCGGAGAAAATTTCAAACGGTATACACAAGTTCCAAGGGAACATTCTGAGTATTTCAGGCTTCCGTCGTATTCTCGGGTCACAAGACGCACCAGCCATATGTGTGTCTAAAACATCTGGAAGCAATGTTTTACTGCTTTAAACTGCATAGTATAAAACGACAGGAAGCATTTTTTAAAATACACTGCTGTCGTCGGGCACGGTGGCTCACGCCTGTCATCCCAGCACTTTGGGAGGCCGATGTGGGCGGATCACGAGGTCAGGAGATTGAGATCATCCTGGCTAACAAGGTGAAATCCCATCTCTACCAAAAATACAAAAAAATAGCCAGGCGTGGTGGCGGCGCCTGTAGTCCCAGGTACTCGGGAGGCTGAGGCAGGAGAATGGCCTGAACCCGGGAGGCGGAGCTTGCAGTGAGCCGAGATGGTTCCACTGCACTCCAGCCTGGGTGACAGGGCAAGACTCCGTCTCAAAAAAAAAAAAGAGACTGATTGCCATCACTTTATCCTGATAACCACCTACCACACACTGGTTCCGGCCGGTTTAGAGGGGCTGCAAACTTGCTTCACCTTTTGACCTGGGGGGGCCTAACTATATATACTGCATTGAAATGTTAAGTCTCCACTCCAAGGTCAACTTGGAGTGGAGGTAACAGGCATATTTGTTCAACACCCATGGGTCAGGACTCCCTTGGTGAATATCCATAGCACTTCCTGTAACTTCTTGCATATACATACACTTGGCCAACCCACTCAGCATAAATTCCTGTCTCATGTTTTCTTTCCCCCAAGTGCTTGCTTTTAGTTTAGTTTTGTTTTTTTTTCCGGGATGGAGTCTTGCTCTGTTGCCCAGGCTAGGGTGCAGCCTCAGCCTCCCAGGTTCTAGTGATTCTCCTGCCTCAGCCTCCCGGCTTAGCTGAGATTACAAGCACATTGGCCGGAGGCTGTGTGCTTCTCACCTGCAGTGAATAATCACCTTCCGTGAAATAAATGACGTTCAAGAAATACAGTGGCACTCTGGGTAACATAGCAAGACCTCCTGTCTGAAAAAAAAAAAACAAAAAAAAACAAGAACAAAAATTAGCCTGGCGTGATGGTGCACGCCTGTAATCCCAGCTACTGGGGAGGCTGAGGCGGTAAGTCCAGCTGTTTGTGCCACTGCACTCCAGTCTAGGAGACAGAACAAGACCCTGTCTCCAAAAAAAATTTAAAATAAATGAAAAACGGGCCGGGCGCGGTGGCTCGCGTCAGTCATCCCAGCACTTTGGGCGGCCGAGGCGGGCGGATCACTTGAGGTCAGGAGTTCGAGACCAGCCTGGCCAATATGGTGAAACCCCATCTCTACTAAAAATACAAAAGCGAGCCGGACGTGGCGGGTGCCTGTCATCCCAGCTCCTCGGGAGGCTGAGGCAGGAGAATCGCTTGAACCCGGGAGGCGGAGGTTGCGTGTGAGCCGAGATGGGGCCACGAGCCAGGCGACAGAGCAAGACTCCGTCTCACGATAAAATTAAATCAAAATAAAATAAAGAGAGGCCGGGCGCGTGTTGGCTCAAGCCTGTGATCCCAGCACTTTGGGCGGCCGAGGCGGGCGGATCACTTGAGGTCAGGAGTTCGAGACCAGCCTGGCCAATATGGTGAAACCCCATCTCTACTAAAAATACAAAAGCAGGCCGGACGCGTGGTAGGCGGGTGCCTCATCCCAGCTCTCGGGAGGCTGAGGCACAGGAATCGCTTGAACCCGGGAGGCGGAGGTTGCAGTGAGCCGAGATGGAGACCCATGAGCCCGAAGCCAGAGCAAGACTCCGTCTCACGATAAAATTAAATTAAAATAAAATAAAATAGAGAATGGAATTAAAATAAAATAGAGAATGGAATAGAATAGAATAAAATAAACAGGAAGAAAGCCTTTCTACCTTTATAAATTGTGTGATATTTAGGTTAACAACTGTCAGTGACGGAATGTTCAGTACGTGGCACCTTCTGGTCTGTGTGTGTGGGAGGGGGGGTGGGTCGGGGCGGGGAACAGACTCAGTATGAAACCGTTTTGGGGTCTGACGCTCTCCCACCTGCCTCCACCGCGCAGCCACGCGTCCGCTCTGCTTCCAGAGCCACCTGAGCAGGTGTCAGCAGAAGGAAGAGTCACTTACTACTCTCGTCCCTGCGGATCTACGGGTGCCTCGAGCGTGGGGCGCGTTCCTGGGGCTGGAGGCGGCGCCCAGGGGCAGCGCGGGGCCCGGGCCGGGGGTTGCCGCGAGGTCGAGCCCGCCGGGTCTGGGGGCGGCGAGCGGGGCTGCGGGCCAGGCCCCGGGCAGCTCCCGGTCCCCCGCGGTCGGCAGGTCCCGCCCGGGCGCCTTGATCCGGCGCAGGCATTCCTGCAGCATCCGCTGCGTGCTGGCCTCGCTGAGCCAGTACAGGAACAGCTCGTCCACCTTCATCTTCAGCACCGGCTGCAGCACCTTGCCGGGCGGCATGGCGGGGGCTGGGCCCGGGGCGCCCCGGAACGCCCGCACCCCGCCCCGGGGGCTTCGGTCCGGCCCGGACGGACCTGCGTGATGCGAGCCCCGCCCGCTGAGGGGGCGCGGCGCAGGGAACAAGGCCCGCGCCTCGGGAACTGCGCAGACTCGCGGGGCGCGGGGAGACCGAGGAGGGGGCGCGGTCCGGCCCGCGCTGCTCAGGGCAGCTTCAAAACGGGCGCGCCGGCCGCGCTCCCAAACAACGGCGCCCGCGCTCACGTCACTGCGCCGCGTCATCGCGACGACGTCATCACGAGGCGACGCCGCCGCCGCTGGCCCCGCGCGCACCGCGGCCCTCGGAGCCTTTGCAGGAGGCTTTGGTGGGGCCAAGCGGCTGCGGTCAGGACGGAGGAGGGGCTCTGGCGGCCGTCCCGCCCGAGCTCTTTCTGCGTTTTGGGATTTAAGAGGTGCGGCCCATGGCGGCGAGGCGGCCTTAGAGCGGCGGAGATGCGAGCATGCGCAGTGCGTGCCTGCCAGAGCGACGGGAGGGGCAGCATCCGCATGGAGCATGCGCCGTGCGTAGCGGTGGAGGCGCTTCCTCCGGGAGGCCGGTCGGGTGAGCATGCGCAGTGCCTGCCCGCGGGGCGCGAGGCCGAGGCTGGAAGGTGTGTGAGCGGGCGGGGCTGGGGGACGGGAGTGCGCCTGCGCAGTGGGAGGCACCGGGAACGAGCGAGCATGCGGGGTGCGCGCCCGCCGAGCTCGGGAGCGAGCGTGCGGCCTGCGGGAGCGCGCGGGGGAAAAATCAACGCAACTTTTCTATATAACGGGCTCCGTGGGACCCACAGGGCCCCGTTTCTGGTAGCTTTGCTTATCAGACAGTAAAGACAGGTTGGAGGCGTTGGACCCCTGTAAACGTTGGAGTTCTGGGATGAGCGTCCATTGCTTTGAAAATTGCAAAAATCGTCTACGTCCGGGGACCTGACGTTAGTTCTTTAAATCACTTGACCCAGGGGTTGTGTGTGTTTGTGCTTTCAACAGTGTCCGTCAAGACATTGCGTTATCTTCTCTGTGGCACACATGCACCTCTTTCCTTTACGTCTTGCTCCCGACCCTTTTAATAATGTTTATATCAACATAGGGTTTTAGCTGGTTTTGCCCCTTTTTAGAGTAAATTCAAGGTCTTTTATGAGCCAGGGTCTCCTACTTCTGAGCTGCATCAATCGAGCTAGACTCAATAAGGAACTCTCTTTTTAAGTTTTATTATTGAGATGGAGCCTCGCTCTGTCACCCAGGCTGGAGTGCAATGGTGAGATCTCGGCTCACTGCAACCTCTGCCTCCCAGGTTCAAGGGATCCTCCTGCCTCAGCCTCCCGAGCAGCTGGGATTACAGGCGCCTGTCACCACGCTTGGCTAATTTTTTGTATTTTTGGTAGAGACGGGATTTCACCACGTTGGCCAGGCTGGTCTCGAACTCCTGACCTCAAATGATCCACGCGCCTCGGCCTCCCAAAGTGCTGGGATGACAGGCGTGAGCCACCGCGCCCGGCCTAAGTAACTCTTTTCGTTCGTTTGAGACAGGGTTTTGGTCTGTCACCCAAGCTGCGATCTTAGCTCAGAGCAGCCTTGATCTCCCGGCTCAAGCAATCCTCCAACCTCAGCCTTCCAAGCAGCTGGGACAACAGGCACACGCCACCATGCCTGGCTAATTTTTAATTTTGTTGTTGATAGGGAGACGGTCTGGCTCTGTTGCCCAAGCTGGTCTCACACTCCTGGCCTCAAGCCCTCCTCCTGTCTTTGCCTCTGTCTTGGCCTCCTGGGATTCCAGGCGTGAGCCACCGCGCCCGGCGTCAATCAGTCATCAACGATGGTTTTGTGTTGCGTCCGTCCTGATTTCAATTTCAGGTTGTGTGCCATGACTGGACATAAAAATCCGAGCGCTCTTGGTCAGAAGAGCCGCATCACGCAGGAATTCTGTGAACTTATTTTGACTAACCGGGAAGCACACGTGTGTGTGTGTGTGTGCGCGCGCGACCCCGTGATTTCTGCGGGGCAGTGGATATATTAATACAGATCTCTGTTTAGAGTGTGTCTCCTACACAGGCGTCTTTTCAAAGAACAAACGTGGTGTTCATTGAGTCCCTGTGTGAGGCATCACTGCGGTTGTGAGGGGAAAGGGTTCCTTTCAACGCTAGCACAAGAGGGCTTTATCTGCCAGGGTCCTGGGGCGCAGTGGTGAGGCCCAGGGCCAACGGGACAGAAATAAACTCAGGGCAGAAACAGAATGTTTCTTCAGTCTGCGCTGGGGCCTCGGCGCAGGCTCTGCTGTGGGAGAACAAAGAGGTGCTGTCGGGCCCCCAGGCTGGCAGGGCATGAGGTGTGCAGAGCTTGCTGGGATGTGGCCAGCTCCAATTATCCAAGCTGCCCTACAGCAGGATGGACGCCCTGCCCGTTCGGGTCTGTCCGTCTTGCAGGGCCGCTGGGTGGCCAGCGGAGTCGTCCTGGGGAGAGAACGGTGAGGGCAGGCCGGGTGCAATGGCTCACGCCTGTCATCCCAGCACTTTGGGAGGCCGAGGCAGGAGGATTGTTCAAACCCAGGAGGTCAAGACCAGCCTGGGCAACATGGCAAGACCCCATCTCTAGAGAAAATGTGAAAGTTAGCTGGACATCGTCGTGTGCACCTGTGGTCCCAGCTACTCGGGAAGCTGAGGTGAGAGAATTGATTGAGTCTGGGAGGTTGAGGCTTCAGTGAGCCGAGATCTCACCACTGCTTTCTAGCCTAGGCAGGAGTGAAAGACCGCATCCCTAAAAACATTAAATTTTAAAAAGCAACCAGACGTGGTGGCTCACACCTGTCATCCCAGCACTTTGGGAGGCCGAGGTGCGGGGGAAACGCCTGAGGTCAGGAGTTTGAGGCCAGCCTGACCAATACGGTGAAACCCCATATCTACAAAAATTAGCTGGGCACGATGGCAGGTGCCCATCATCCTAGCTACTTGTGAGGCTGAGGCAGGAGAATCGCTTGAACCCGGGAGGCGGAGGTTGCGGTGAGCCGGCATCGTGCCACTGCACCCCAGCCTGGGCAGCAGAGTGAGACTCCATCTCAAAAAAATAAGTAAAAATAAAATAAAAAGCGAGAACGGGGAGGGAAGAGTAGAGAGGAAGATCCCGGAAGACTCTGATCCTCTGTGGGATGTAGACCCAGGAACAAAGCTGGGTCAGCTTCCTTGGGAGGTGAGGAAGGTGGGAGCCATGACGGTTGTAGAGGGAGAGCAGCTCCTCCCTTCACCTACCTGAACCCGGGTCTCCTGTGTGGCCACAGCCTCTGCAGCCCACAGGGCCCCATGTTGTGAGGTTCACACACCTGCAGCTGCTCAGAAATGCAAACTCACCCCCTGCATGACGTGCTCTGGATATCAGTCGGCCTTCACACCATAGCCCTGGGCTGGCCCAAAGCTCCCAGCTAGGCGTATGCAGTGAGAGCTCAAACAGGGATCAAGTTTCTATCTGCTGCTTGCATTCCGCATGATGACTTACAAAAAGAAAAAAGAAAGAAAGAAAGAAATCCTGGCCGGGCGCGGTGGCTCAAGCCTGTCATCGCAGCACTTTGGGAGGCGGAGGCGGGCGGATCACAAGGTCTAGAGATCGAGACCAGCCTGGCCAACATGGTGAAACCCCATCTCTACTAAAAATACAAATGTCAGCCAGGCGAGGTGGCAGATGCCTGTAGTCCCAGCTACTCAGGAGGCTGAGGCAGGAGAATCGCTTGAACCCGGGAGACTGAGCTTGCAGTGAGCCGAGATCGTGCCATTGCAGTCCAGCCTGGGCGACAGAGCGGGACTCTGTCTCAAAAACAGAACAAAACAAACAGAAATAATCTCTGTTTCTGTCAGTTGACTCCAAAGCAGCCACAAATGCATGTAAGTTTGACGTAAAGTCAGTTTTCTCTCAAAGTAGCTAACGAGTTTTGTGTGAAGGTTCTTTTCTTTTTCTTTTTTCTTTTTTATTTTGGAGACGGAGTCTCGCTCTGTCACCCAGGCTGGAGTGCAATGGCGCGATCTCGGCTCAATCCAACTTCTGCCTCCCGGGTTCACGCCGTCTCCTGCCTCAGCCTCCCCAGTAGCTGGGACTACAGGCGCCCGACCACCACACCCGCCTCATTTTTTATATTTTTAGTAGAGACGGGGTTTCACCGTGTTAGCCAGGATGGTCTCGATCTCCTGACCTTGTGATCCGCCTGCCTCGGCCTCCCAAAGTGCTGGGATGACAGGCGTGAGCCACCGCGCCCGGCCTTTTTTTTCATTTATTTTTGAGACAAGGTCTTGCTCTATCTGTCACCCAGGCTGGAGTGCAGTGGCATCGTCATAGTTCACTGTAGCCTCAACCTCCCAGGCTCAAGCAATCCTCCCACCTCACCCTCCAAGTAGCTGGGACCACAGGTATGTGCCACCACACCTGGCTAATTTTTGTATCTTTTTGTAGAGGTGGGCATCTTGCTTTGTTGCCCAGGCTTGTCTCAAACTCCTGACCCCAAGCGATCCTCCTGCCTCGGCCTCCCAGAGTGATGCGGTCACACCTGTCATCCCAGCACTTTGGGAGGCCGAGGTGGGCGGATCACAAGGTCAGGAGTTCGAGACCAGCCTGGCCAATATGGTGAAACCCCCGTCTGTATTAAAAATGCAAAAATTAGGCCGGGCGCGGTGGCTCACGCCTGTCATCCCAGCACTTTGGGAGGCCGAGGCGGGCGGATCACAAGGTCAGGAGATCGAGACCATCCTGGCTAACACGGTGAAACCCCGTCTCTCCTAAAAATACAAAAAATTAGCTGGGTGAGGTGGTGGGTGCCTGTAGTCCCAGCTACTCGGGAGGCTGAGGCAGGAGAATGGCGTGAACCCGGGAGGCGGAGCTTGCGGTGAGCCGAGATGGCGCCAGTCACTCCAGCCTGGGCAACAGGGCAAGACTCCGTCTCAGAAAAAAAAAAAAAAAATGCAAAAATTAGCCGGATGTGGTGGCGGGCACCTGTAATCCCGGGTACTCGGGAGGCTGAGGCAGGAGAATGGCTTGAACCCGGTGGGGGCGGAGGTTGCAGTAACCCGAGATGGCGCCACTGCTCTCCGGCCTGGGCGACAGAGCGAGACGCCCTCCAAAAAAAAAAAGACCGTAACTATGGCAGGAGGAGGCCAGGCACTCTGACGGATACCTCCTCCCAAACCTGCGGAAGACAGGATGGAAAGGGTGCTGTGGGTCAAGGTTCCCAGGGACGTCTGCAAGCTGTGGGGCTTTTCATGAGCTCCCGGGAGAGAGCGCCCCGGTGAGGGTCTTCCTACCTCTTCGTAACTGCTTCAGGCCGTGTCCTCATCCGTCTTCCAGAAGCCAAGAACCCTTCACACGAACCCCCGCTTTTGTCCCGAGCGGCCTCCGCCGCCACTTGCTTGGCAAAATAAAAGGTAAGTGGAAAAAGCCCCGCTTTCCATTTTCATCTCTAATTGAATTCTCTGCTGACCTGTCGGTTCCCCACGGCTGTGTGTCGGGTTCTGATGAGGAGGAAAAGACAGTCTGTGTTTGGATAATACGATGTTCAGCAAAACCTTCAACGCAATTTCCTCTCCCCAGAGACGGTGTATCTTGTAGGATTGAATGAAATCCCTTATGCGTAGGGAAAAACGTT